CCCCAAAACCCCAAAACCCCAAAACCCCGTGAATCAATATTTGAGAGATATAAAGAATTAAATTTGACTACATTTATATAAAATTGATCAAGAGCAAATATATGTTATTAAGTATCCTGGATAGCTTTTGAGATTATCATAAATAATATAATGACCACCTTAGCCATTATTAATAGAGTCATATCTTTCTGTAACACTGTTTTACTTAAGAGGAGGTATTTTGATCGAATTATTCTGAGGCTAATAGATACTATCTCCTACTAGCACCAATGCCAAGAACATTTAAAACTCATTATTAGATTTTTTTGAGGCATAACAATGAGAATATGCTGAGTTATCTGCAAAATATATACCCTCTCCATACAATCCTCTATTTGAAAATCTTTAATCAAACCCAGTCTCTGATTCATATATTAGTTATGGTTAAGTTTCTTTTGTTCCATGAAATAGATGTTTCAGAATTTATGTAGGCTGTAGATTAGTATATTTTTTTAGCATTCTTTTATATTCAATTAAGAATCTCTCATATATCACACAGTTGTAGACTTTTTCAATTCTAAGTATAACTGCTTTTGTCGGTGATCCTGATAAATTAGAAAAAAGTCCAACTCTTGGCATATTCCTTTAGTTTTAGTTATTGAAGGTTGATGTAAAATAATTCTGAACAAAATTATACTCTGCAGAATTCTATTAAAGTTATTCATTGCAAAAGATTAAGCCTTTTTCAATGGAGAGTCTTGAGGGTGGTTTGAAAGTCGTTACATAATCCCATCAAGTTTTTATAATCTTAGATATAAATCTAAGAGAACCAGCTCCATCTATTCTTAACAATTTAATATCATTAATTGCTTGAGGGTTCAGGTATAACACAAATTTTTACCCCTAAAAATTCATTACTTAAGTAGTCTCTGCATTATTTAATAAAGCAGTATCTTAAGCTTTCTTAAATTACTCTAGTATTATCAAATCTGTAATTTCTTCATTAATATTGTTATTATTCGGATTAAGGAAATAGTAGCGAGTAGTTTTATACTCTTAAAATGGACCTTTTAGTCTTATTTATCTAATGAGCTTTCTGCCAATCTAAGACAAAGTATTTATAATTTGCCACCCCTGATTGTAATTGTCTTACATCTAAGAAAATCAAATGCAGTAAATATCTTCCCCTGTCTAAATAAAAGTTTCCTAGATACCTCCCTTTGCAAGATATTCCTAATAGGCAATCTCAACTTATTTTGATTGTTCTGGACTCAAACTTTGATAGCCAACATCATTAAAGAATTTAAAGTTTTTAGGAGGTAAAATCTAGTGTATTTGATTAATATTAGCTCTCATGTATTCTTTTTACTTTTGTCTCAAAAGTGCGAAGTTCTTTATAACATCATTATTTTCAAAGTACCATTCAACGATTTTGATTCTATCTCCTTAAATGTCAATCAAATCTTAATCTTCTTTGCTGAATTCCTAGAATTAGTTTTCACGAGGATTAGGCAATAATTACTTTTCTTCTTCTAGTTATCTTAACAGAGACTGATTTTATAAAGTTTTGAGTCCTAGAATGTCATATTCTATTTAAAGCTTTTATATCGTCTATTTGTAGATTTCATAGTTCTGCTATTGTTGAAGAAATGTCATCAAAGGTATCAACCTTTGAAAATTACCAAATTTTTACATCTCATAAGGGCTAGGTTATTTTCCCAAAAGCGAGTTATCGATATAATATTATAGGACTTCTAAAATCTAGAATGCAGCTTCATTTATCCCAGTTTCAAGAAATCTTTCCATATTTTGATCAACTATCTTTGAAAAGTACAAATAATCAACTTTAATCTTATTTTCAAGGATAGTTATAATTTCTGAAAATTTATCTGATTCCATATCTAAAATCTTATTAATTACTAATAAAAATCTAATTAAATAAAATATGCAAGCATCTTGTTTATTAGTGAAGTTCTTCTAACTAGGGGTTTTGGGGTTTTGGGG